ATCTGCCTGTACCCCACTCTGTCTCTGGTGAATCCTCTCACCCTCCGCATCTCTGGCCTGTACCCAAGTTCTGTACGAATAAATAAATAAATCTTAAAAAAAAAAGTGCGACATCACTTGTAATAAGGGAGATGCAAATTGAAACCACAATGAGATACCAACTCACATCATTGAGAATGGCACATATTAAAACAACTAGCAACAACAAATGTTGAGAAGGATGTGGAGAAAAAGGACTTCTGCTATAGTGCTGGTGGGAATGCAAACTGGTACAACCACTATGGAATGCTGTGTAGAGGTTTTTCAAATTGCTAAAAATGGAGCTTCCATATGACCCAGCAATTCCAATCCTAGGTATATACCCGAAGTACACAAAACATTAATCCAAAGGACACCTGCACCTCCATGTTTATTTCTGCCCTGTTTAAAATATGGAAGATGTAGCATCAACCAAAATACCCAAAAAATATTACACAACAATCAAAAAAGATAAACTCATGCCTTTTTCACAACATGGATGGAACTGGAAAAGATCATGCTTAGTGAAATAAGCCATAAAGAAAAAGAAAAATACCGGATGGCTTCATTCATAGCAGGAGTGTAAGGGATCAGGGGGAAATATATATATATATATACACATACATATATATATTTTATATATAGTATATATACATATATATATATATATATATATATATATAGTAATTGTAATAAAGTAAAAAAGAACATCAACTAACAATTATAAACCAGAGACATTCTTGGGGGGAGGACAGGGGAACAAGATCAAAACTGGGGTGGGAAGAGCACATGGGACTATGGTGATGGTTCATGGGTGAAGTGGTGGTGGTGAGTCCATGGGGATTACAACTGTGATGAAAAAAATGTACAAAATGAAGAATGATGTAAAAAACATATTACAAAATAATTTTTTTAATCAGTAATTTTAGAAAGAAACTATTTTAATTGCAGTCTGATGTTAACTTTGAAAAACTAAAATTGTATGCATGCACACTTTTATACTGGGATATTTAAATTTTTATTATCATTTTATGGAAGTTCTTTATATATTACAAATGCTAAAGTTATTTATCTTTATTGCCTTTGTCTGTAACACCTCTACCATACATTTTTAAAAAATATTAACCAATATTAACTGAGTTAATATTGGTTTATATACTTGTTTCAATTATGAAAATGTAGGATCCTCAACCCCACTCTTTCAGGCATTTTTTTATAGTGCCCACCACCAAGGCACCCATAGACCCTCATGCTCATCACCATAGACCCTCATGCTCACTCCCTTCCTTATTCTCCCCTCTCCCTTTCTCCCTCCCTTCCCACTTTGATTCCCACTTCCTACAGTCAGCTTCCCTCTTTTCTTTATGGCCATGCTGTTTTGATCCTATTAATCATCTCTCTGTGCATCCCCACTGAAGACCTTCCTGCCTAAGGCCTAAAGGTCTTGTCCTTTCTTTTTTACCTACAGTGTTTGTCATATTGACATGTGATTTTCGCTATGGCCATGATGACTTGGATATGATTGGTCTGATATTCCACAAAGATGTTTATGTACAGGTCCAACAAGTGGTCTCCCAGTTGAGCACACCAATCCCAGGGGCCCCCTCACATCCTTCAGGAGTGACTGTTACACAAGCTGGGGGACAACACCTTCCCCTTTACCCTGCAGGTATTGACCCTACACCCTGGGCAGAATTTCTGAAAATGATTAGGAGAAGAAAATGGAGAAGAAGAGAGCTTTTTGTTTATTTTGTTTGTGACTTCTTCTGGTCCCCTTCTGCCTTGTTTGGTGACACTGCAGCCAGGTCCTGAAAATACAGGAAAAGTGAGGTCTGTATTTTGAGAACAAGGAATAGATGATCAGTGCTGCGCTGAGGAACAGAGGGACAAATGGACAAAACTGGAGAAATGGACAGCTAAGGGATGAGGGCAGGCATTTCCTTATAGACCCATAAGGGAGGGAGGAGTAGTGTTGAAAATGACTTCTCTTTGCCCCTGTCCTTTTATTGGCCTGTGGAGCTGACTTTGAAGAGTTTCTGTACTGAAAACCCAGAAAAGAAAAATGCCAAGAGGTATACTTTAATCTTCTCCAAAATCCCTGCCTCCAGGCTACACCAAGAAATAGGCCTCCCTTTCAAGATAGACACATCCTATGCCTTTCTAAACTCTGTAGTACCATCACCACCAACTCAGAGGCCCAGTTCTGATTGCCCTCTTTCTCTTCTTTGCTTGAGGGCAAGGGTCAGCAAACTTTTAGGTAAAGGGACAAAATATAGGCTGTGTGAGCCATATAGTTCCCATTGCAGTGAGTCAACCCTGTTACTATAGTGTGAAACCAGCCATAGATAGCATGTAAGTGAATGTGTTCCACTAAAATTTGAATTATATTATTTCCACACATTGTGAGTTATTGTTATTTGATTTTTTTCAAACATTTAAAACTATACTAAGCATTCTTAACTGTGGATCATTCAAAAGCAGGCAGTAGGTCAGGTTTGGCCAGAGAGCTATCATTAGCTGACCCTTAGTCCAGATACCTACATGGAAGGTCTAGAGGAGTTCTTTGAGGGAGGCCTGCCCCTACCTCCACCCCCAAGCAAAGATAGGGCCACAGGGTGGTATGGGTAAAGTCTGGAGGTCCCAATGGAGAGGTGCTGGCTAACCCCATGGCCTCTACTTTAGAGACTCCGTATGGCTAGTGGCCCATAAAGTACAGTTTGCATCCTTGAAGCCAGACCCTGGGCCCTCGTCCAGACATCCACCACATCCTTCTGTCAGCTCAGCCATTACAACACCAGCCTGGATGAACAAGGGAGGTTTGTGTTCCCCACTTCCTGTCCCCTCCCCCCACCCCACCCCCAATCTCTCAGAAATCCTTTCCTCACTGATTTTTTTGCTCAACTAAACAGGAATGGAGACCAGGGCAGCAATGGTGCTAAGGAAATAGGAATTCTAGGTCCTTAGCGTGATTTTCTCCCTCCAAACGACTTCAGGTTCCCTACCATGGCAAACCCACCTCTGTCAATGTTTCCATCAACAACTGTACCAACAAGGTCATCAAAAAATTCAAGATTTCAGGTGAACTTCTTTTCTATTCCCTTGCAACTGGTCCCAATACTACAAGTCTCTTTTTCAAAACTCTGCCCCACTTACCCAGGCTGTATTCACCTAGCCTTCCCTCCCTCCCCACAGGATTAGCAAAATTTATATCTTTGCTTGCCTACAAACTCATCTTAGTACACCCTGCATAGTGTCCTCATGTGTAAGATCACATCTGAGGGCAGCGAGCTGCAGCCTCAGGGATGAGTGATTCTAGTCATGTGCTTTTCCTGACTGTTGGTGGACCAGAACACAGATGTTGTCCTGTATTCACTAGACAAGTTCACAAAACTGTGTTCATTCAGGAGTTCACATGAGCCTCAATGGGGCCTGGGACAGACAGCCATGGGGTGAGGTGGCAGAGAGTGGGAGAGGGGACAGAGACAGGAGGAGAAGTTTGGGAGAAGAAGGAAGCCTGGTGAGCCTAAAGGGAAGATGGTCAAGGTGAGGGCTGAAGTGAAGAAATGGAGGAATTCCCAGGAGAACGAGAGGATAGGTGACTGATTCACAGAAGGATCATCAAGATGTTGTGAGAGAGCAGGGCATGATTTCCCACCTGGTTTAATTGCCAAATGTAAAGGTCTTACATTTGTACTACACTTAGACACTCCAGCTCTTTTGGATACTCCAGAAACTGTGTAAGATACTCCTGAAAGTGAAAGCACTCTTAGTTTGGAAGTGTAGCTTCACTCCCTCTTTTATTTTATTTCTTTCAAAGGGAAACTATAGCTTCTCACTCCAATTTCTCCAAGAACTGTGAAGTAACCCCACTGCTGACTGCTAATAATCAGAAACACAGCCTGGCACTGGATGGCAAACTTGAGCACGGTGATACCAATCTGGCCTCTAACACAATGTAAACTCAAATATAAGTCCCAGTGTCCATTTTCTATCCCCAACACATTCTGCACAGTCCCAAGGTTTCACTTTCTATGAAACTTACCTATTTCTTGAAAATATCCCTAGCTCAGTGTTCAGAGATCCCTCCAGGATTGAAGGCCAAAATAAATAGTTCCCAGGGACCAGTGGTAGGCTTAGGTTATGGGCAGCGAGAAAGGAAAAAGTAGAGAGGGAAATTTTCCTTACATTGTATAATACTTTGTAGTTCACTACCCTATCTTCATATGGATCCCAGTAAAGTTAGGCTGGGATCCATTTTACACTTAAAGACACTGAGATTGAGAGAGATGAAGGAACTTGTCCAAGAATGCATAGCTATTAAATAGCAGGGGGGAAGGTATTTTATCACATGTAATCTGGCTCTAACTTGGACCTGTACACACTGTAGTGACTAATCTCTAGGAAAAACAGAACTAGAGTGGGAGACTAGGAGCTGAGAAATGGAGGGAAAGGAGAACAAAAAAGAGAATGATGTGATAAAAATTGATGGAATTTTATCAAGTCATTCTCTTGGTCCTATTCCTTCAGAGGCCCTACTATAAAATGTGTCTCACACCAAAAGCAAATAGCCATCATGTGACAAGCATTAAATCCCCTGCCTCTCCCTATGCCTTATCCATCATGTAACTACACACTACTATTGTTAGGAAGACCCTTAGAAATCATCAAAGCAGCATTGTTTTATAAAGAATCAAATCCCAAAGCAATAAAGAGAAGTTCCCAAGATTTTTCAACCAGTGAGTTTTATTAAGCACCTTTACATGCTCATAACTGTGATAAGAAATATAGAAAAATACAAAGAAGCTTAAAATAGTCTCTGTTTTCAGGCAATTTATGCCTAAATGGGGAGCAAAGACAAATGCAAATGCAATCTAAGGATTAAAAAAAATGTATGTATGGTTCAGAGTATAAACATAATAGAACTTAAAAAAAAGCAGGCATAGCATGAGAGGACTCCCTGCAGGAGGCAAAAAGGGCTAGGTCTCAAAGGATGTGTAGGACCTGGAAAGCAACAGAGGAAGAAAAGCTCAATCCATAGCATGGGCAAGAGCCATAATAGGCACACGGCATATTCTGAGCATAAAGAGGACCGGTCTGTTTAGGTTGTATCCCTGGGATGCAATTTAACTTAACCTAGGGAGTTGAGGCAGAAAAGATGAGATGGTCTGGGTGGGGACCAGGATGTTAAGAGTCGTGAACAGTTATATTCAAGCAGAACAGTTCTTTCTGTGAGCAGAAAGGTGACATAGTAAAACTGTATTTTAGGAAGAGCAATGTGGTCCCATGAGTTAGAGAGCTTAGAGCCTGGAAGACCTCTTAGAAGACAAAAGGTACACAGCTAGGGACCGAGGTTGAATAAATTCCCTCTCTCACACCCCTCCACTCACACAACGAAAAAATACCACCCTTTCTAGTGTTGGACCAAGAATGAACAAGAACCTATTAGGGGCCGTGGTGTCCTACAAAGTCAAAGTCAACTGATGGTATCCTGTGGCAGGAGAGTGAAGGTTCAGCATCAGTCTCGGCAAGACTGGTTTCCCAAACCTGTGAGCTGAGTGAAACCCATTTTGTAGCGTTGCTTTATGATTCCTCACCCCCCAGTAAAATTAGGTTGCCTCTTGCCATTTCTAGTTGCCATTTTTAGGATGCCATTCTATCCTCAGCTCCCTAAGGTGACCTGACCGCCAGGTAAGAAGATGGCGTGGGGGGGGGGGGCGGTGCGAGAAAGGGAAGATGAGGAGATGGGAAACCAAAGATCCTTGCACCTTGTAGTGATGTTGGCGTGGAGCTGCCTCTGAGCCTGATGACTAAGTGGGATTCACAAGAACCATGTCCTTGAGCACTGGGAACCAAGCTGTTCTGACTTCCTGACTGGGGACTAGGTTTTTAGGCGGAGTGTGTTTGTGAGCCGGACAAGGGTCTAAAAAGGGAGGGGCAGAACCGTGAGACTTTTCTTCAGGGAACCTAGGAGCACCTCATCAGTTTCAAGCTCCATTCCCCCACCCCCTGCCATGCTTTTAAGAAATGAAATCATTTCCCCCCCTCTAGGCTTTTAGGTAATGAAATATGAAGCCCAGAGGCTCCATCCCCGCCCTTTCCCACTGTCACGGACTATTTTATGAAGTGTTGCTTTCAATACGCGTGTAGCGTAAACCTGTAGTTTAGCTTGGTGCCACAGTTCAGCGCCTTTCAGACACCTCCCCTTCTTCCCGTATTGTGTGCCCCGCCTCCACCTCCTACTCCTGGAATCGACATTCCCCCTCGTTCCTTTCATTTGTCTTTTTCTTCCCTCCCCCTTCCGTCTTTCATTTTTCTAATACTTCCTCCCTCCCCACCTTCCTTCTAGTTTCTCCTCCTGGGCTCGTGGGGGGACTTTTGTGTTGGGAGATTGGGAAAGGAGCAAAGGCGAAACCAGTCAATGCTGCACGGCGGATCTGGGGGCAGAGTGTAGGAGCTGCGGAGAGGGGGCGGAGGACCTGAGCTGGGCTGCAGAGAAGGAAAGTATCACTTCTCTGAGGTCAGGATAAAGGACTGAACGTGGAGGCCGTCCGGAAGTTACTCCTAACACTCCATTCCCTCTGCTGCTTCTGCTCTGCAAGCTCTGAAGACATAATCTTCATCGAGGCATTTACGCAGCAGGAGCACGATGGGGAGCAGATCCTGGAGCTGGCTGCGAGCGTGAAGAGGGGAGCTGAGCACCGGGCTTGTGTACCTCGGTGTGGGAACGCCACTGCAACGCTCTAGTAAAACCTGCTGGTCCACACAAACCTGATGATCTCTTTGGTGTTCCCTCCTCCTCCTGAAGAGTAATACAACTACCGAGAAAGAGTACCCCTCCTTTCTCCCCGTCAATGCTTCTCCCTAACAACCCCCACAGTCTTCTTATCACAGCCACTGCCCTTTAAATTTCCCTCTGGGCCCTGACCATGCCACTCCGAACTCACCACCCATGGCTCGGGCCTCAGATACCGAAGGAACTGCAGGCACCTGTTCGAGCTAATCGTAGAGAGCTGGAGTTGTGGAGGCACAGAGAGTCCTGTGTGACCTTAGTTAGGCCTCACCCATCCTGTGATACTAGGCACCGAGCGCTGCTGTCCTGCCGCGACTTATGCCTTGGCGCCCTGCTGGCCCACAGCCAAGCAGTTCAACCTGGAAACCGTGGAAAGACTCCATTACAAATCTCTGCTCACCATCCCAGATTCTCTGTGGATAAAAACAGGAAGGTAAACCTGAACTCAATGATCAAACCCTGTATATTTCTTGTTCTTTTTGACCTTATCTAATTCCCAACTGTAGTACAAAGTCCTAGAGGCCTTGAATCCTTATAAATTTGATGCTCTATGGGGTCTTCCTTAATCAAAAATTTGAAATTGGACCTGTCCTAGGATGGGAGGCCACTTGATTTGTTGCCATAGCAGCCTGGTTTCTTTGATTTTTGATTTTACTTTTATTAAATTCTAGCATTTAAAAGGCTAGTTTTCCTACCTGTCTCCATCTTTGATCTAAACATTTGTTTTATGCAGATCCAGCTGCAGTTAGTTAAGACAGCTGCCCAGGAGCACTTTTGCCACTTAATTCCTAACTACTGATACATTCATCATTCAACTTTTTGGTGCTTTTTTTTTTTTTTTATAACAAGTGGCTCTCAAACTATGTTTTATTTGAAAAAGAGGACTGAGGGAAACAACAGGGAAGCTGGAAATACATAAAGAGAAAGGAGAAGTACATATTCTCTCCAAACCTCTACTAAATGTTTCAACACTCTGCAACATATTCCTCCTGCAGAAGTTAGTTCTTCCAAGTCAGACCAGTGGGTAGACTATATATGGACACAAAGAGGTGGTAAGATTGTCATCATATTGGTGGGTAACAATACTGATCTGAATAAAAGGTAATGTAGAACTGTTAACTCTTCCTGGCATACCTAAAGTTCAGTCTCTACAAGGAAGGTCTCTACAAGGAAGGTCTACTGAAGTGTTTACCTGGGAAGGAGTCACCAGAGTTAGGGATTCGATTGCAGGCATGGGCTCAAGGGTTTCTGGCTTGTAGGGAGGTATCATTACACCTCAGAATGACCTAGCTTTATCCACTCACTCTGGGCCACAAGGGTCTTATTACTATCTGGCCCTTACCTCATTTCTCATTTGTCCAGATAGATTTCTGCCTGAGGGAAAAAAACCTAGAGAACTCAACATGTTTGAGACCGAGCCCAACCAGTTGCAGTATGAGAAACATAATACCCACTATTCTTTGTGATAGTACCCTTGCCCTTAGCTACCCACCACTGCTTATTCCAATAAAACCTAGACTTGTTTTATTGAAAGGTATTGAAGGTAAACTTCATCTTCCCACTGCACAGTGCAAAGACCCAGAATCACATCTCTAAATACCAACTTTTTTTTTTTTGCCCATCACTACCCATTCAGACCCAACTTATGTATGTGCTATGTGGCTTCTGCCCTTCCTTCCAGAAGTAATTGGTTTCCACTTGAAGGGATGTGTAAACTTTGCCCCAGCTTTGCTGGGGAATTTAAGGAACTAGCAGAAGGCAAACTCTGCTGATAACCAGGCCAATTTTTCTGCCTGACATTTGAATGAAAACAGGACTAACTTCAGCAAAGTAGTTCTGTGGTTTGCCTTTAAGTGAAAGGGATGTTCAGATCAGAATTCCTCATCTCCTAGAAGTTGAGATTTCACTTTAGCCATCTCAACTTTATTACCTTAATATATTCAGTGGTTGAAATCTAACTGGAGTCATCCAATGAGTCAGGCTCAAGTTTTTGTTCCTACTGATAGTTTAGGCATTCACTCTAATTTGAATCAACTGTAGCTGGGCTTCCCATTACCAATACTTCTTCCCCATCTCAGATTAAATGTTTCATATTACTGAACTCTCTTCCAACTCCTGGGTGTTCAGGAGTAAAACAGAAGCCCTGAAACAGTGCTATCATTTTTTGATATATCACAGATAATGGGTGGAAAGTTCCTGTAAGGTCAAGATTCCACCTTACTTTCACTGTTATAAGGAATGTAGTTCTACAGCAGTTGGGATACACCAAAAGTCAACTAATTCATCCCCCCACTGTTATCTACAGCATTGATGAATGACAGGTCCTTCTGCCTTCTCCATATTGTACCTAGACCTCCATGATGGAAGGGCATCATTTTGGTGCCCCGACACAAAACGATTCCAAGTATCTAAATGAAACATCCAGTTTAGAGGCAGGATTTTCCCCTTGGGACCAGGGCACCTGGCTGAGACTTTTTCATTATGCTTACCACTTCTTAGATGAGTTGTTTTAAAATCTTAACTATCAGGAGTCTAAAACAACATTCAGTAGACTCAGGCAATATACCTTTGTGGAATTATCTAGTCCACTTCTGGAAGTCTCTAGTTTTTTTCAGGTTTTTGTTGGGGGGATGCAAAGCAAGAGGAGCATAGAATAGGAGGGGATTTCCCAGTTAGCATTTAGAGAGATCTAAACATTGCTCTCAGCTTTTCCCACAAGGGATATTGCTACCTAACAATGGCACTGAGCATCTAGAAGTACCTTAGCAGACATGGTGTGTGTTGAGGATGAGGGTAGTAGGAGTTACAGTGAAAGCTGGATTTCCTCATAGAAAAATGACTATTTAGGACTGTTTTCTGTAGTTGAACAAGACTTTAGAAATTCAGATTTACAGGCTCTCAGACCAACAGAATCTAGCTGAAGGGCCTGGAAATATATATTTAAGCATCCCAGGACTCTTGTAAGACAATTTTGACTCTCATTAAATGCAAGGGGGGTGGTTTTTCATGCCATACTTCATTAGAAAACATTCAATTCTGAATATGTATTTTCTATATGCCAATGGAAATGGCCTAAGGTGTCCCCTGAAATCTCTAACAATGGATTGGTAATTAAGGTATTAAGATGGCAAGTTATCTGGGCACTAGGGTGAAGTAGACGGTAATCAGCAATATTCAACATACAAAATGGAAATCAGAAACCAAATTCTTACTGCCATTCCTGGGGAAAAAAAAAGGCATCTAGATCTCTCCCTCAGTTTATATTCCAGATCAAAAAATCTGGGACAGAACTATATTAATACTGTCCCCTGAACAGAAATGTTCAAAGCTCCAGGGGGCGGGGCACTGCTTCCTCCAGTACTCATGTCCCTGTGCCATTCCTCCATTATACTGTGACTATGGTTCCTGGGGCCCCCTAATGTTCTGCCTAGATAAGAGGTATGATGTAGGTATAGGGCTGCTTTGTTCCTTTCAGTGACTCCTCTCTTTGAGCTGATGTGTTCTTGCAGTTGTTGAGGAGCAACCTATTCTGACCAGAACAGAATTATAACAGAAGAGCTTTTATCTTGGCCTCAATAGCATTTAACACCCAATTACTGTCATCCAAAATCACACCAACATTTCCTCAGCATTGTTTTACTATTAGGGGTGAGGGTAGGAGAAGGGATGGAAAAAGAGGGTCCCACTGGAGTCTCCCCAGATGCTTTTTTCCTATTGATTTCTACACTATAACGACAATGAATGATGTTATATGTATGTATTGCCTAGCACATGGTGTTCAATAGATGTCTGCTGCATTTTCCAGCTGGTTCTCCACGGTTAGGCTATACCTAGACATCATCATCCTTCTCCTTTCAGGGAATGAAGCTCACCTAGAAAAATATGGAACTAAAAAAAGTACAGTATAGTTTGAGTAATGCAGTTGGTTAGCTAGCTCTGTGTCTCCCCATCCTCCCCACTCAAGTGTGCCAGAGAGGGGCTAACAGTAGTTTCTCAAGTGGTTTCCCTTGGGGCTAGCCAGCTTATTCAAGAAGAGTCCAAGTGGAGGGCTACAGGTTGCAACTCTTTAGTGCACTGTCCTCTCTTTTTGGCGATGATAATCTGGGGAAAAGGAAGGAAAAAGCAGGTTAATTTCATGCCTGAGCTCCCAACTGTCCACTCCCAACTCATGAAGCCTCTAGTAATCAATATTTAATGAGTTCCTACCCAGGATCATGTCAGGTAAGTAAAAAAGAGTAGCACTTACTATAGGGAAAGAAGCGGACACGCATGCTTATTTCGCGAGCTGTCTTCAGGATATCAACAGCCTGTAAGGAAAACAGTAGCTTGTACAAACGAAGATGACAGAATTATAACAGGAGAGAAGTAATTTCTCACTCTAACCCTCTGGGTCACAAGCAGCAGCTTACTTCTGCTGTACTTCCCCAGGAGAGATTCATGATCAAGTTACAGATTAAACCTATCCAACATTTTCTACTTGGGACTGCTTCTTGCCTTCACCACAGGGGGTGCAAGGGGGGGGTGGTGTTTCATGCCATACTTCATTAGAAAACATTCACCACAGTCCAAGTGCTGTGCTTACCTTACTGTGTTCAATATCTTGGAAATCCACATCATTTACTGCTAGGACTTGGTCTCCTTCCTGAAGTCCTGCTCGGTGTGCATCAGAGTCAGGAATCACCTATTGGTAAAGACAGAACGTGTGATCAAGGTGGGATAATCTCAAAGACTGTAAATGAAATAAAGTGCTGTGTGTGTATGTGAGAAGAGACAATGTAGGGAGACACATGGCTTGCCAGTTAGAAAGTTTTAAGTGAGAGGGGGTGTTACCATTATGATCCTTCTATGAGTCTAGTGAATCATCCTCTCAGGCCTAGGGACATCAGAGGTCTATAATTTAATAACTTACAAGGAGCAGTAGCTATCTTTATAGCCTACTAGGCACACGCACCTTGGAGATGAAGATGCCCAACTGGGAGGCCTTTCCACCTCGGATATTAAACCCCAGCTGTAAGACAAGAGCACAGAATGCGGGCACAATATAGACCACAAGCACAAGAACATCTATTAGCATCACTATACAAGCTCATCTTATGTGTCTTGCAGAGAGGTCAGAAGGTACAGAAATGGCATCTTCTACAACATTCACAGCAGCTTTTATGTCCATAAAAGGAAGAAATGGCATCTTCTACAACATTCACAGCAGCTTTTATGTCCCTACCTGCTTTCTAATCTGTCCCCCCAATCATGGTCAACTTCTGGGCCTGGTATGAATAAATCTAGTCTGGAATAACACACAACTGCTCCATAGCGCACCTGAGCTCCAGGGGGTTTCTTCAGTGTGATGGTTCGGGGCAGAAACTGGGTCAACTCATTGTTGTAGTCTGGGTGGTAGACCCTCTGCAAGACACAGAAACCCCCAGAAATATTACTTCCGGTCTTAGATTTTATACTCACCTTCATCTAGAACACAAATGCATCATTCCTGATGAGGAAACAGTGAAAGGACTAAATTTAAGTAGAAGAGATAACACTGTCCACAAGGATAGATGGAGAGCATATGTAAGTGCTAACAGTTCAGTTGTGCTCCAGTTATCACAAAGGAATGAAAAGTAGTCTCTGAATTTCCAGAATACTCTGGTATAAATGGACTCTAGCAGGAGATTCCATGAGAAGCTCCTAATGGTTCCAGTTGCTGAGAATCCAACAAGAGCTAAGACTCGGTCTCCATTAAGTTTTCTAAACCTACCATCCTACCTTTCATATTATCATCTCACACGCTACAGGAAAAAATTCCACACTCAAGGGGACAGCTGGTTCCCACCTCATGAGGAGGAATCCATGCTGGGGGATTCTCATAGGCAGGCAGGAAAACCACCGGGTAGTCGTCGTAAGGTATGCGGCTGTCCATCTCCCACACGGCTCTGGAACGGAAGGGTGAATCAAAGCAGACAAAAATGGTTCAAAAGGGACAGAAGCAAAGGAAGTTTCAAAACAGCTCCAACCCACTCCAAGGCTGTCAGTTTATAAGCCTAGCCCACTCCACTTCTAGTAAGAAACAATTTGGAGAAAAGAAAAAAAAAAGATGTAAGAAAAACTAACTTTGCCCAGTATCACAATGTCGAGCAACCTGCTAGCTTTTCTAAAGAGGTTTTTCTCACAATTCCGAAAAAATAATTTTACTGTCTTCCTCCAAGAGAAGAGAAAATCAGGATCCCGTCTAAAAAGATTTTACCACCATCAAAGTTCAAGGGAGTGTTGACTCCAACTAGCAAGAGATCCCGAGCAAGGCACCGCTCTGGCCCAGATGTGATCAGTAACGCTGGGAGTCCTACTTTTCTTTACAACCAGCCCCCTACCAACCCCAGCCCCGCATCCTGACTAAATTCAATGCAAAAGCTGCGCTGAAAGTTGGATAATCTCACTCACCAGCAGGTTTCAGCAGCGGCCGGAACCGCTCTCCGCCCAAAGTTTCTGCAAAACGGAAGCGGATGTTGGGACGAGGCAGGAAGGGGGCGGGGCACAGCCGCCTTTTCACAGCGCGTCTTCCTGCGCGCCCCGGCGTGGACGAACTTGCTCCGCCCTCCGACTTTTTGCGCTCTGATTGGCTGGCGCCTCTAGTAACGGTTTGAAACTTGGCGGTTACGTTTTCGGTTGGGAGAGGGCGGCGGGAGACCAGGGAAGGGACGAATAGTTTGGTGAGTTAAGGGGGGCACACCTTAGCTGAGAATCTACCTTTCCCGGTACTCCAGGCTTTGGTTCTTTGGCGTCGTCTTTACTGGGAGGAAGGGGGAAGGGAGGTTTCCTTTTCCACTTCAGATGCCACTTTGCTGTCTTCAGAGTCGGGCTGATGGCTGTCCTGTGGTGGCCAAGTGAGGGAGAGTGCCTCAGCGACCCTGGGGGGAGGGGCGAGGCTGCCCCGCTACCATTGAGTTCTGTAACCCACCCGTCCCTCCGAGGAGGGTAAGAAGTGAGGGAGGAATTCTTCCCGCCCCTACGGACCTACGACGACTCTTCATCGAGCCTCTTCTTCCTCCTCCACAGTGACGTGCCGAGAAAGGATCATGAAGGAAGAGGTGAAGGGAATTCCCGTAAGAGTGGCCCTGCGATGTCGCCCTCTAGTCCCCAAAGAGATTAGCGAGGGCTGCCAGATGTGCCTTTCCTTCGTGCCGGGGGAACCTCAGGTGCGTAGCGGAGCCCTGGGGCTGCCTCTGAACAGCTGGGCGCCGGGGCAGAGGGGCGTGGTCTGGCCTCCTTTCCCTTCACCTCGTGTCCCTGGCCTTCCTAGGTGGTGGTTGGTACAGACAAATCCTTCACCTATGATTTCGTGTTTGACCCCTCGACTGAACAAGAGGAAGTCTTCAAGACGGCAGTAGCACCACTCATTAAAGGCATATTTAAAGGTGAGACTCTTTAATGCCGTCCACAGTTTTTGACTGTATAGTGTGTGTCAGGTACTGTACCTGGGCACTACAAATGCAGGGATGGATGAAACATGACTCTTGCCTTCAAAAAGCTCAGGCTAGGAACTAACCCATTGGCATTGGGGACATTTCTGTACCTCTGAAGCTTGTTTTAGACTTTAGGTTTGCTTTCTGTGGTTCTGCTCATCTGTGACTTGTGTATTTGTTTTTCCTGAAACTACATTAACCTCTGAATTCTTTGATGGGTGCTGATGCTGATCTTTGTGCCAGCATACTTGAGGCCCTAGCACCCCAAAGTCTGTTGAAGGATTCAAAGATAAATAGTATAGTTTCCGGCCCTGAAGAAGTTCAAAGTCCATAGGCAGGACTGGAAGTAGATGACTAGATACATAATTTTAAATACATAAAATATTTTAAACTTTTTGTACCTGTCTTTAAAAGAAGATATTTTAAAAGTTAAAAATATGCAACAGAATATGCAACAGTTCAGCTATAGAAGTAGCATGGCTTGCATTCAAAGTGGTGTGAAAACCAAAAGGATTACTGATACTTGAGGGCTTTGGGATGAGTTTCACATCATAGGGTTTCTTTGAGATAGGTCTTGAATAACAGAATTTCTCTGGGTGAAGAAGGAGATTTCCTGAAGCCTTGGAATACTATAGCCAACTAATAATTGTTATTGCAGAAGCTAGGGCTTTTGATGAAGACCATAGCAGGGTTCTGAGAAAGGAGCAGTACTTAAGAGGCATTTAATTATTGTTCTAGTATAGCTGGTTATTAGAGAGACAAAACTACTGTTCATTTTTAGAAGGGGGGACATTTGTACATTATCTGTCTATTGACAGAACAATGTGTTGTTGCAATATCTCTGTTAAGTGAACTTCAAGCACCTGTTTAAAACTTCATCTTTGATAGGGAACTCACTGACTCATCAGGCACTATGATTGATTGCTTTTAGGAAACTGAGCACTTTGTTTCCAAATTTTTAAATGTTAAATAAGGCAGTAATCTCAAATTTTTAGAAATGTTGCAAGAACAGCAAAAAGAAAGGTTTTTTTTCCCCTAAATCACCTGACATGAGTTGTTGACCTGATGTCCCTGAATATTTTAGAGTATATTTCCTATAAACAAGGACTTTCTCCCTCATAACTTCACCACAACCATCGAAATTATGGGATTAGCATTACTGTAATACTACGATCTGGTCTCTAGACCCCATTCACGGTTCACCAGTTGCCCCTATGATGTCTCATACAGCAAAATGATCAAGTTCAAAGTCCTTTGTATTTAGTATTACTGCATCTGTAGTCATTCTAAAATTTCTTGTCTTTTTTAAAACTATTATGGGCATGGCACTTTCAAGGATCACAAGGAAGTTATTTTGTAAACTTTTTCAATTTGGTTTATCTGGTGTTTATTTATGATTAGATCCCGTTTGTATATCTTTAACAGAAATATCACAGAAGTGGCTCTGTATTCCCATTGAATCTAACCAGGCAGCCCACTCTTTTGAGTTGTTCCATTGCTCATTTTGATCACTTGATTAAGGGATTATCTGCCAGGCTTCTCTACTGCTAAGCCAATATTGTTCCCTTTTCACATGTTTAGAATATATGATTCTAAGTCTCTTCTAATTAGCCATCCCTAACTTCTTCTGGCTATTCTTGAAACAATATGGCTTCTAGAACGTTCATTATGTAGTCATCTTCCTCAGAATGTATGTTGAGAGCATGGTAACAGCACTTGGTACTACTTTTATGTTCTTAACTAAAGTGTAGTCTTTAGAGGTGATAGAAAGTAGATGATGATTCCAATCTGTAGGTGCTTGGTTAACGTTACTCACAGTTGCAAAGACAAAGTCAGTTTTCTTTACAGCTCTACAGTGCACCCTCATGTACTTTGAATTCCCAGCCACAGAACCCTAAGTGTTTTGTAAAAGGTATTGAAACTTGTTCCCCCAGTCATTGCTGTGTACAAATATGTGTGGTAATTGAAGATTATGGGATATTATTCTCTTGCCCCATAGTTAGGAGGTGATACAAGTGGTTTGTTACAGTGAAAAATCTCTTCTTAACATTTTCTTATGGTCTCAGACATCCAAGTTTTCATTTGGACAGACAGGGTCTTTCAAAAATTTAAGGTTTTCCTTTAGGTTAATAAATTGTTTCAAAAATGTTTTTCCTTCAGACTCCAAATTTATGTCAGTAAATAATAAGTAATAGATCTATTGTAAATGATGATCAATTAACAGAGAAAACTTGCTTTGTTTCATTAGAACATGCCTAATACTCTGATAGGGGGTAGACTTCCCTAAGATCATATTTTTCCACCTTGAAGTAAATTTGGATTTATAATTCCTTCTAGGTGCTATACTTACACAGTTTAGTAGCTGCTATCCTATAATTAGTGAGTGATATCAATTGGAGCTTAGGTGATAATAACCTACTCATTGGTTATTTCAATCTTGCTCCAGCTATAGCTTGGTTTATTTACCTTTTATTTCAATCAAAAGTGTAAATTTATTAGCTAAAAGGAAAATATCCAATTTGGGTTCTCTGGCAAGAGGAAATATACAAACTGATCTATAAAACAGGTGCTTTTACTAAAACTGAACTCAAGCAGAAATGTACTTTGTAAGTCTTTCTGCAAATAGTACTGATAATATAGGCAACAACAAAAGATACAGCTACTGTTCAACTACTATTTTATTTAACAATTTAAAATGTAAAGAAGCAACAAGAAACATATTGAAAATTATCATTTTATTTATTACTCAGATAAACAGTTATCCTTTTCAGCTTGTCACATATATATGTTTGTATACACACTTACCAATTGTTTTAACATTTTTCTTTTCCATGGAAAGAACAATTTTTTTAAACTGCATCAAGACATTTTTGTGTAGAATATTATCACTTTTTTTCTAAAAGCAAGGGAATGTTATATTAAATCATGCTTAAATGATATTTCTATGAGGAGCCTGATAATGTGGTACAGATGCAGTCTGAGAATTCAGATAGAAAATGGATTCTTTCACTGACAATCAAAAGCAACTTTGTTGCCTTTTCAAATGAGCGTCTGTGAATCAAAGATATATATGCAATGATCTATTTATGGAGCATCTAAGAGTCATTTAATTCTTGTAATTTAGAATTACTCAAAGAAGGTAAAAACTAGAATTATAAAATTATGAAAGGCTTTGTACATGAATTCATCACCTTTATTTTCTCAGTAATGTCTTTGAGGGGCCTGTGTTTGGGGGTTAGTATTTTTCTTTGTTGCTTATTTGAAGCAGTGCAAAGTCAAGGTATCCATATAAACTAATCCCTGTGTGTACTAGTCCTAAGACACTGTAGTTTAGGAGATCAGTCTTAATTTTGCTACAGTAATTGCTGAAGGAAGTGTAATATGTTAATTGGATGAAAATGTTTAAGGATCATTATGCATGTGACTTCTCTTTGCCAGGATACAATGCTACAGTCCTGGCCTATGGACAAACTGGCTCTGGAAAAACCTATTCAATGGGAGGTACATACACTGCAGAGCAAGAGAATGAACCGACAGTTGGGGTCATTCCTAGAGTAATACAATTTCTCTTCAAAGAAATTGATAAAAAAAGTGACTTCGAATTTACTCTGAAAGTGTCATACTTAGAGGTAAATTATTTATCTTTAATTATTCTGATAGCAAATTTTTCTGGGTAGAAAAATAAATCCAGTCAGTTTTATCCTGGCATGATTCAAATTAGTAAATTATATTTTTAGTAAATTGCATATTAAATTTATTGAAAAAGCTTACTAGCTCAGTTGGATCTGGCTCCCACCCAGTTCTTTCCTTGTCAGAATAGTATGTTTAATCTGATCATCAGAGGAATTGGCATTGTTGTATAAAAACAATGTTAAAAACTCTCTAATTCCAATTTGGCCTCCATTATTGATTCCCTGAGGAGTCTGCAGAAAAGTATTTAGCTTAACTGTTTTGAGGCTTAAGTGGTAGCTCCTGCTTCATGAAGACTAATAAAAATTGGGTGAGGTATTGCATGGTGTAACTGATAATAGGGTGTGTTAATTCAATAGATATT